TAACTAAAAAAGTAAAAAGGTTTGTGCGGCGGCCACTGTCACTTGAGGTTTGAGGGGTAATGGAGGTCATTATGTCAACCAGTCTGGCAGGAACGAAAATCCTAGGAATGAAAGTCCTAGGAATGGAAGTCCGTGCTTCCATATGGTTAGTATAGGTTAGGGTTAGTGGTAGTCCGCTAAGAACCGTAGTCCGTTCTCCCCTCACTTTGTTGACGTGACATTCGATTCACATACTAACCCCAATACTACGACTAACTCTAGCCTGCACTAATCATATGGAGACACGGGTTTCCATTTCTAAGACTACTATTCAACACTGACAACAAATTTTCAAATCCCTTTCCCCTTATGTGAATCATGTCTGTAGATAGTTCATATTGACAAAATAAACATTATTAGCCCACGTCAGCACTCTTCCAGTGAATTTGGACTTAATTCTCGAAGACCCATTTCTTTCTGAGAAAAATATCTTAAAGCCAAGTTCTTCTAGTTTCCTCAATACATATACATGCTTCGGTGTTATATATTTAGAAAAGTTCCATATATGCAGCTCCATGGCTAATTGTTTAACATTTTTTAAAGATCCTTCCTTTAAGGCAGTTTTTAAAGCGTCCCACTCAGATTCCTCCACATCCATTTTGAGGTAGTCTATTGTTGCCTGAAATGAGAAGCGAGGTTGCCTGAATGTAACATTTAAGGGGGATTATTTATTTATCATTTATTTAATTTTCTATTTGCAGTATACATGTAGTATTTTTTTTTAACTTTTGATTCCAAATTTATATTGTACAAATATAAACAAAGTATAAATTACTTATGCATTCTAAGAACAAGGTAAAATGTATACAACTGTTGAATGCACTGAATTGTGCATAATATAATGCTCTTTACAAGAAATCAACATCACCATCACCATTATAATTAACATCTATTTCTCCTTTGAAAATTACTTTATGATACATATTCAAGACTAATTTAATTTAATTTAATTGCTAGATTACCGAGAACATGCCGCGGTGCATTTGGAAAAAAAATTGGAATTTTTAGGTAATTCCATTTAGTTACAGAATTTCTATTCTTGCTGTTAATTTGCCTTTAAACAGACCAATAAAGGAAGGAATGTTTATTACATTTGTATGTTTCATCATCTGCCTTACTGTCCCAAGAGTTTTGAGGGCCCATTGTTGTCCATTCTTCCACTTGACAACTCTGTTTTCACGAAAGAGTCCAATGTTGTAAAACCACATATTTGGTTGGACCTCCTGTGACTCATGCTTTAGACCTATGCTGAAAGTATAAATATACTTTTAACAAAAAAAAAAACTGATATTGTAAAAAAAGTCATAATGTTTTTTAAGTACATTATGATCTCACATATCTCTTTGTGAGGGTTCCAGACTAAGCTAAAAAGGATAAAATGAATTACAATACAATTATGACTTTTGTCATCATTCTGGCATTTACATGTCCATCAGTATTTTAAGAAAATGAAAAAGACCAAACTGAAAAAGGAAATAATAATAATTAGTTTAATTATTTTAATGGTATTACTGACCTTGGATCAAACCCATACACTGTGCAGCTCTTTGACATATATCTGTCGAATGACCATTCATTTCCCAATCTGTATGCAAAACATACAAAATATTAATAATGAACATATAATACCAATCACGATAACTCATTTAGCCAATAATATATAGAATATACTTTAGAAATTCAGTTTTGGGCTGCCGCTAGATGACAAGGAAACGTTTTCATTTCTTCTAAAATCTCGTGTTATCTTGTATGCAGTTTCACGCCAAAGTTTAACATGGATTGTAAACGCACCACTGACTGTTAGTACCTAAACGCAACTGATTCGAACGCATTAGCGTGATGACAAGAAGAAAGATGTGCATTGATAGAAAGGTTTTCTTTTCTTTTCATTTCGTTCTTGAAACCATTTTCTTGCTATCTTCATTGAAAAAGACAAGTTTAGTAAAGATGTATATTTGCATTAAATCTGCATATCTGCAAATGCTGCAAATAAATATTATAATTTCCCAACATTTTTCAAGATTAGCTGGCCGTTTACACCATTAGGACGTGCAATTTACAACTTACATCAACAGATTTCACAAACCTTTCAATGATTTAGCGATGATAATCGAATTCTGATAAGAAAACATTTTACCTATTCATTTAATGCGAATATCTCTCTATCTCTTCTTTCGTCATTGCCTCTCTCTCTCTCTCTCTCTCTCTCTATCTCTCTCTCTCTCTCTCTCTCTCTCTCTCAAAATATGGTTCCATTTATTCCTACCCAAAAGAATACACAAGGCAAGAGCCAGGTTTGATTGCAAACGGTGGATCCATACACACTTCCCAACCTCCGTCTCCGTAGGTCCCAGCACGAACACGATTACGGCAGTCGTACTGCTGGCGCATGAGNGGCTGAAATTTATAAAGACAAATTTGTGAAAAAATAGCCAATGTGCCAATCGCATTAACTGAATTCATGTGTAACACACAGTTAAATAAAAAAAATTGAGCATGAAATGCATTCTTGTGTTTGTCCCTGCTTATTCAGCCATTCCGAAAAGTGGTCCATTTATAGGAAGAATGCCTGTTGTAATATAATAATAATAATATTTATTTCTTAAAACCGCACTACACTACCGTCTCAGTGCTGTTTACAGGTAAAATTATCAGGATTACAACTAAATATATATATAATAAAAGCTAAGGTAAAAAACAATTAAAATAATAAAAGCTGGTTAAAATAGTAATGGTCTGAACAATAAAACTATTTTTCTGGTAAAATGAGAATATACTAATTAAAATACTGTTCAAATAAGAATGTTTTAAGTCTTTTTTATTGTGTATTTATTAAAGTATATTCTATATATTTTTAAAAACCTCAACACTATCAATAGTCCGAATGTGTGAGGGTAGATGATTCCATAAAATGGGTGCTGAAAATGAAAATGCCCTGTGGCCGTAGATTTTGGTTGTTTTTTTATTATCTGATGAAACAAAGAGTAGAGGTGGATCTGGTAGACCTGGTGAGACTGGGTGTACTTGGATGTAGCATGGAGTTAAAATTCTGAGGGGCATTCACCTCTGGTGAATTTAAAAACAAACAACAGTACTTTAAAAACAATTCTCTGTCGTACAGGAAGCCAATGTAGTTGTAGTTTGGACAGATTGCAATTTTTCAATTTGGTAGGTAGGAAGACCATACAGTAGACTGTTTCCGTAGTCAAGATGTGAAGTTATAAAGGCATGAACAAGCCTCTCCATTTGACTTTTATCAAGGATATAGGATAGTTTGGAAATTTTTTAAGACTATAGAAGGCGACTTTGCATTTTTTACTGATGTCGGCAGCCATATCAAAAATTACTCCAAGGTTTTTAACCTCATCTTTTACCGTGACTGTACTGTTTCCAATTTCTAACAGTTCTTGTTTTTCCGCATCCTTAGAAATATTTATATTTATTATAATATTGTAGCCCATTTTCAGTTATAAGGGACTTCTAGTTCGCCCTTTCTACGCCATTGAGTGGAGAAAATCTGCAGGTTTTGCAAAGACATCAAAGCTGTCAAGTATACAGAGATGAAGCAAACAAATGATACACAAAAAGGGTTATTTTGTAATCTGGAAGCAATTTTATATAATGCTTAACAGCATAATCGTGAACAAATATTATTAACTAAAGGTAACAAGTCCTTTCAGAAGCACATGAGAGTTCAAAGCATACGTTGAAAATGCCAATGTGTAAAAATGAACCAACAAAGGCATGATGAGTCTCTACATAAAATTAGACAAGAGAACTCCCCTTAATAGTTTCTAGTTCCTGTCAATTTGGGGATATAATAGCAAAAAGTGATCCTTTTTCGAAGAACGGCTATGATGTGCATCACATGAATCTAATTTACAAAATATATTTATCATAGTCTTAAATTATCAAAATTCATTCTATGGACGTTTTTGGGGATATTTTTGTTTATAAAAACATCAAGAGTACCTTGAATATCACATAATTAAAACAAGAATTTAGAAAAGAAAATCGTAGCTTCATTCAGAAAAAAAAAATACACATTCATACTTTACAAGTTTTTCACTTGCATCTTAATCCACATGTTTGAGACACCCATCTCTAACTGGTCATACAATGGCTACTGTCACATACTTACTGCTGAACTCCACAAGGCAATGACATACAAAAGTTTATAGTATTCATTACAGTAAAATAATTAAATTCATACTTAAAAACAGTGTTGAAAAGAGGTTAAACTAAGTCTGTTAAAATATTCAAAAATGACATCTGAAAAAATACATACCCATAAAATCCTTTCTCCAGTATGTCGTATTCCTTTAATGTCATTTTTAATTCCTGTATAAAATTATTTCCATCACCCAGTAGGGGTGAAGCTATTTCCCCTCCTAGCTCTTCTTTATAAAAGAACGGGTTCCCATACTGTTTGACATCGGTGTCATTTTTATCCATTAACGCCATGGTAATTTCATCCACCAGATTGTATGATGAGACACCCGTGAGACGCTAAAATAAAAAAAGCTGGATAGTTGAGCTTTCTATCTTATTATCATTATTCTGTGATTTCTGCATTTTTCTTTTTAAATGTACGTGAACAAATAATAAAATTTTAAATGTAACATTTTTATTTCTTATATTTTCATTGGACTAGATAACCAAGGCAATGACAAAATGTTAACTCTTTAAGTATGCTGCCTTGACTAAAAAGTGAAAAAAAAAATGCCTGGTATAAATCAGGGGAGTATAGTGCATGGAAAATACAGGATAAATTTTTGTCTCAGTGGTTTCTGTATCCTTTTAACCCCAATGTTATATACATGTATCTGGAGGGATAAGAAGCTCGTATCCTTGAGCATTTGAGAAAATTGCACATTGCAACCAATGGCATATAGGAATATATAAATATATATATACTACTACCAGCATCCATTATGAAATTAGATAAAAGTTACTTTGTCAGTGTTTTTCACATCCTCATAGCCTCAGTGATAATATGTCAAGTGGAGATCAAGCTCGCGTGCTGGGAGATTTGGGAATTAAAGATGACCGTCTAAAGACCAATAATAACCCATGTTCTAATGCAAGTTGCAGTCATTTTGAATTTTCTGAAAATTGGCAGGGTTAGACACGCACTTGTTATCCACAAGTTATATTTATCACAGGGGCAATAAGGATGCGAAAAACACTGATAAACATGACTTATTTGATAATGAACATATAATAGTAAAAAAAAATGCACCTTGCTGCGTC